AGCTTTCAGAAATGGTGAAACATCCAAAGCTAATCCTCAGCAAACCAATTATGTTGTGGTAAGTTGGATATATTACGTGTCTGCTTGTCACTGTGCAGTCGGAAAAAAGCATGAAACCACAGGGTGCTACTTTATGCAAGTCCCAACACAATTATGACATGTGAACTGATCAAAACATAGCACAAAATCTATAAACATATCTTTAATATTGCCACATTACAGGATGCACACTATCAGAGTTTGGCTTCATAGTTCCCATGATGTAAAGAAAATATCAGATAATCTTTCCAAAAGAACTGCAAAAGAGAAGAGTATAAAACAAATGTGCCCTTTAACATGCAATAGAAACAGATGGAAAAAATAGTTCAATGATTCATACCCTTCACGTGCTAGCAATGAGCATAAAAGCCGAAGCTCCCCTTGTGGCAGGCTAAGAAGGACAGAACAAATATTGCTTTCATTGTTTACAGTTACAGAGGAGTTGCTATCATCTTTCACCTTAGATACTTTCCCATCACGATCCCTGGAAGCACCAACAGTGTCAACATTCATATGTGCATCTTGTGAGGTACCTTCTGAGCCAGATGGCTGCTCAGAAGATAGCGCAGCTTTAGTCGATATCCCAGAGTCACTTTCAGCATTTACCATGATGACTTCAAGTAGATACAAGAGCTGTCATCACGAAATCATTAAATTTGAGATCGCAAAAAGTGCTGGTATTATGAAAGGGTCAAAAGGTTTTTTTATTATTAATCTACCTGTTCAAGATGAGCGACACTCCTCATATACAATGGCTGGTTCAAGAGACTTAGAAGCAAGACAATGGAAACTTTCTTGTCATCAGGTTTATCCTCTTCCATAACAGCTTTACCACGCCCTTGATCTTGTGTACCAAGGACAGGGCATGGAAGCTCAAAACTAAGCAACAGTTTTGCCACATATTGATGATTCCGCGCCAAGTATGTCAAAGTTTCTAAGATTCGCCTGGACAGCAAAGGGGGAACCCCTGCAAGTAGCAAAAGGAAAGTAAATAAAATTGCCAAACAATATTGTGCTTTAAGAAACAATATAGTTGTACTAGCTTAATAGAATATGAATAATGAACGCTAATAGCATAGCAGGCATTCTACATAAAACAAAAGTCAGCAGGCGACACTTATGTATTATCATATCACTTCCTAACAAAACATACCAACTAAAACATGTGCAATAATAAGATCCATTGCACAAATACTTGACTGAATTTATAAAGCTTCCACTAAACAGGACAACGAACTAGCAAAAGCAGAAGGTTACCATCTGAAAATTGAGGACGAGAATATATAATGTAACTTTGACAGCCATAAAGTCGATATGGTGATTCAGAAACACTAAGTTTACTGCTAGGATGGCCCCGGAGATCAAGCATCAGTACTCCCATTAGAATTTGCACCAAGGATGTTCTGGTTTCATTATGTGCACATAAGCTCAAGAGAAGCCTCTGATATTGACCTTTATAAAGAGGCTGCAAATTTATATTGACGTCAGTATGCATCCACTAAAACAAGAAACAAACTCAAGTCAGATTCAAGTGAGCCACATAATTACCTGAACTACGCGAAGGATCCTGAATATTGCTTTCAAATCATCTGTGTCGACAAGTGGTGCACCGTCAGTTTCAATCATCTTGCCTGCTGCAGATTTGCGAGAAGCAGCTTCTGCAGCATTTCTATCCAAATTAGATCCAATAATATCACCACGCCTAGAAGACTCGCCACGCCGATTTCTGGATTGCATGCCAAAAAGTGGGCCGCTATGATACCGATGTGCAAACCTTTCTCGCAACATGTTCGCCTCGGCAACAAGTGCAGGTGTTAGAGTGGCCAGAAGAGTATCTGGAGAAGTTAAAAGTACCTGACAATGCATAATTTCACAGTGTGAGAAGATGTAAATGCATAGGGACTTGGAGGTAGACCAAAGAATGAACAGAAATACTTTGCTGCCTGTTGGAAACCCCCTCAATAATAACAGTAAATACTGAAAATTCAATTATCATTATACATACCTCTTCTCGTATTTCTGAAGGAAAGGTAGCAATTATTGACACAGCATCCATTTCAACAGGTTGTCCTTCCAACTCTTGTGACTGGTTCTGCCTTTGAGCAGCACGTTGTTGTGCTAATACCTCCTCTCGGATATCCGGGGGTAGTGCAGCAAGAAATTCAGGATCTATCTCTCCATCAGCTTGAGATTGGTCACCAGAAGGTTGTCCTACTTGATTCTGTCTTGAATTGAGCACTTCAGCTCGTAACTCTTCAGGGAGAGCCTCCAAAAAAGTTGGATCTATTGAATCCGAATTTCCACTCCTATTGCGCTGGTTGTCCTCCAATGTAGCATTCTGATCAGCATCCCGGTTAGGATGTGGTGGAACCTCACTAACACTTTGCAGTGATGCATCTCTGTTGCTTGCTGGCATTGTACTCCCTGATAACCTCCTCCCCCTGGCTGCTGCTTGCAAATCACCCACAGGAAGTCTATCAGCTGGACCTTGCCTTTCTCCATCATCATGCCCATCGGCGCTTCCTATTTCAACTTCCAAACTACGAAGGCTTTCCCCTAGAGTTGCCCCACTTCCACTGCTTCCCTGGCTCACTGCCTCTGCATCTCGTACAGCTGCATCACTGCGTTCATATTGCATGTCAATAGCTTGCTCACTTACAGTAAACGTGTCCTCTTCTTGATGCACATCACCAGCAGCAGGTCGCTCAGCATCGTTACCAGCTCCAGCTCCATCAGGTACAGTTTCAGGTGAATGTATAACCATGTTTTCATTATTTTCATTTCCTTCTGCACGTGTCTCTCCCCTTCCCTGATCCTCTGATCCATGTAACTGGTCAGAATTATCTTTTTCCTGAGGTGGAACTGCAGCTGCTGCATCTTGGCCAGAAGCTTGCTCAGGAGCAGGTGTGGGCCGTCTCAACTGAGAAACAAGTAAATCCTCGATACCTTGAGGCACAGCAGGTGCGTTAGACCCACCACGTTGATGTGTATCATCTAACCACATATTGAATCGATGACCATGCCTCCCACTCCTCAACGTCCGAAATATAGCATCCAATCGTGCAGAATTGCTCTCATGATGTCTGTCTGAAAATGCCATATCAATTGTATTCTCTGAAAAAATTGAACAGCGTGTGTGAGGTGAAATTCTCAAAAAATTCACTCTCTCTGAAAACTTATCAATCATAGTTCACTGTGTGCATGACCAGAGAAAAATTGGAGTTAATGTGTGACATGGACACAGAATATGCAGTCTCAAAAAGAAACAAGATTAATATTTATATGCATGTATCTATAACATACCATTTCATATCACTGAAATAAATTGTTCGAGCGACTTTAGAGATTTCTAGAAAATGCAAGCAATAAGTTTCACAAACAGATATACAGTATGTAACTCAAGCCTTTTTTGTGCGTGTATTCATTTGTGTTACTCATTCAACAACTAATTTTAACATTTATTTCAAATAAATGTTAAGTTATTTTTTAATAACTGTCAAATATAGATAGGGCTTCGAAAAATGCTATAACAAGTCTTTCTAAGTGATGTTTACTTCCTCCAAGAAACAAAAACAAATGTAACATATGTTTTTATGCAAATTGATAACTGTCCCAAAGTGTGGAAAAGGCCACAAGTTTTGAAGAAGTTCCCATACTAGAGAAATATTTTACAATGTTGACATCAGAAACTGTTTCCCAAACATGAGTATCTCACTCGCAGTCTATGCATGATGCATGCGTACATTAAAATGTGTCACACTAGACCTACTATGAGTGGATGAAAAACTTTTTTTTTGTTACTTTATTTAAGTTTACATTTAACAATTTATATTAAGAAGGTACAGGCAAAATGGTGTGGGGACTGGCGATGACTAACAATGCATATAGCTATATATTGTTAAGAAAGCAAGTCAAGACCATACAAATCTTTCTTAGAGTACACCTCAACGAGGTGGCTATAAGAAAAGCTAGGGGGAAAGTTTTAGAAATGAAGTACCAAAGTTTAATCAAGATAGGGAGTTGAATATCTCAAATTTCACAATTAAGAGTTATATTTATAAAAATAGCGATAAATGACGAGCATTGTTGCAGAAATCCTCAAAAACCTCCGATAAAACTCAGTTTTAGAGTTTTAGCTGAAACAAACTAGTGACGACTTCACTTCTAACCAGAGCTATATGAAAAAGCCTAAACTTATAGTCTCATTTTGACCTTCTCTAAACTGTTTCTGGCATGCTGAAGTAGGATTACGGGTCCAAGTTCACACCTTCATGTGTGCATTTTGCGAAGTTCAACTCAATTAAATCAACTTTTGCAGAAGTTGTATTCTCCAAATTTCTACCACTATATGGTCGTCATAATTATATACTCACTTTCATGAAAAACTCTACCCCTTCACTTGCCAAATGGCTTAAATCTTTGCACCATGCTCGTTTCATGCTTCTTAAATCTTCACTCATCAATACTGTAAAATGATTGGCATTTTGCCAATAAGAGATGCTTGAATGAATTTGTTATATTCAGAGTTCAGACAATACACCTCATTCAAAAAATTTCCTGTATTACTAAAATTCTCTTATTATTATTTTAGGCAAAATTTTCTTCATAGTCACTTGTTTATATTTAGCACGCACATGTTAGTATATCAACCAACACAACAGTCAATTTTTTCAATTTTTGGATAACATGTGATTAGTGTGTCGTATAACTAAATCTGAATACACATATCAGTGTCATTACTTCCTTGGCTTGTTTTCAAAGATACTGATGAGGTTTTATCATACGTCTTTCAAAATACTATAAATATATTATTATCGTTGCCTATAAATTTGTGTTTTTATTATAGATTTTTGTCAACTTTTTCACGTTTCTAATTTCTTTAATCTTTATTTCACTCTTAAAATTGTTCAAAATACACCCTTGACATTTTTTGCCACTAAACCCTGCTACCCCCACCCCCCCAAAAAAAAAAAAACTAATACTTTGTCATTTCACTCAGCCCTTCACTAGCCACAACATCAGTAGTCGAAATTTTTCGATTAGAGGTCACGACTATAACATATGAAAAAATGAACAAGTTTCATCTCAGATCACAAAATAATAGGGCAATGGACAGAACTCACCAGAGGGTCTTTGACTGACAAGGTGGCGGAACGAAGAGGGTTCTTCTAGAAGTGGGTGCTCATGGTGACTGCCATGCTCACCAGCTCTTCCAAGAAGATTGTAGATAGATGTTGTGCGGCCTTGCCTTCTTGACTCAAAAATGTCAAGAGGCATTACACGCAGCGTTTCATTGGAGAAGTTATTGTTGCCGCTGAAAACCTCGATATGGTCAAATATATTCCCGTTTATACCCTCTTCCAACCGGAGAATCACCCCATCATCATCATCCTCCTCTTCTTCCTCTTCCTCCAATACATCTTCGTCAAACTCATCCTCATCAATTTCATGATCATCTGGATCTGTGTCTGGATGTAACATCTGATGGACTTCATCTTCCTCCAAATCATTGTTTTCTTCTTCTTCATCATCCTCATCATCTTCATCTACATCATCTCCCTCATCCCCTGACATATCCTCATCATCATCTTCATCAGCTATATCATCTTCATCAACATTCTGTTCGATATCAAATCTAATTTCAACAGTTGAAACACCATTTTCGAGGCTTCCAGCATCTCCTGAAGTTTCATGCATAAAATCATCTTCAGTTTCACGAGCAAAATCTCCCCCTAGATCTCTGTCATGATCCATATCATCAGCAACAGAATCTGAACTTCCCGAAGTTTGCCCAGCATTGAAAGATTCCACATGTTCAGCTGCCACTTCATTATGATCAGGTTGGGAAGTGGTGTCCAATGACTGGAATCCCTCACCACCATTATAAGATGATTCCATCTGATTCTGATCAGAATTAGGCTTTGATGAATTTCCACCTTTCGCAGCACTAAGGTCAGCAGAAAGAACGTGCTCCTTGGTTACCAAATCAAGAGCTTTGATAATACCAGTAACCAACTTTGGTGAATCAGCATGATCCAAGTCCAAAGCTTGTAAAGCTCGAGTCAGGGACCTCACAAGCCCAACATCAATGAAAGTCACTGAAGCTTCTGCAGAAATATGTGAACCTGTTGGTGAGCGGGCAGAAAGAACATCATTAAGAAGATCAACAAAGGCATGCACAGTGGAATCAGGTGCCCTATAGCCCTTTGCCGTGTCAACAAACTCACTAAATGCATTATTCATTTCAGAGAATATTCTTTTTCGTCCCTCAGTAGAACGGATAGATGATGCCACCAAAAACTGGTTTGCCCTGGTTGCTAACTTGTGTCTCCAATCTCCATCTGCCTTCTTATCCTTCTTGTAGTTTCCTGGGTAGGGAAGAAACTTGTGCAGAATATGCTGAAATATACCACCAGTAAAATTAGTGGACAGTGCCTTTTGAGAAGTGCCCCGGAAATTGCTGATTTCAGCATCTCTGCGGAGAAGCACATGAATTGATGAAGCATAGGTCAAGAGTATTTCTGTTAACAGCTTCAAGACAAAGACCGTCTTTGCAAGAAAAGCTGTAGCCTCCTGACTAGCATTCTCACTTTCTTCAGATGGAACAGCAAGAGCTTTCCCCTTCCCTTTAGCAGCAGCAGTGCTATCGATGTCCATGTCAGCTACTGAACTGTTGCCTAGAGCACCGTCAGCTGGGTCATCAATTTTGGGAGGAGGAACAAAAGTCACGACTGTATCCAACAGATGCTCGATGACACTTGTGAAACTCTGAGGTGATTTCCGATGAAACTTGCTGCTTTTAGCATTTGAATCCGACACTTTAGCGTGTCCACTGCCTGCAGCCACAGTGCCCGTATCTTCACCCGCAATCTTTCCGTCTGCAGCAGGTTGCTTATCTTTTCCGGTTGTTTTCTCTTTGTCCTTGCTTTTCTCTTTCTCGCGATCTTTTAGAAGCACAATATACGGCCTATCGCCTACCATCTCAATCTGGCAAACAGCTCGAGCAGCCTGCATAAATATTTTTGGGTCCCTTAAGATAACAAAAGACAAACTCTGGACAAAATTACGTGGTGTGACCCTTGCAGCTCCATGTCTACTTGTGGCTGTGACAACACTATGCCGGATCTCCAACTCCATAGCTTGCTGCAAGGTATGAGGATCTTCTAAAATGTGACGGATGATTGCAGCTGCAACATTGTTGAACCCAGAAAATAAGCTACCAGTTGGCAAGCTAAGCAAAGCTTGCAGTCCTCCGGCATCAAGGAAGCTAACTGCAACTGAGTGAACTTTTGTAAGCGTTGCACACAATTGAAGGACTGCATGCATAGTCTCCGAAGGCAAATGGTCCCGTATACACCTGCAAGATATCTCCATCAGCCTCTTCTGGTCAGTCATATCCATAAGCCCAGAAGTGGGTCCCATCTTAAGTGAATCCTTCTTTTTGTTCTCGTCTATCGCAACAGAAGGTTGGGTACTAAGGCCATCCTTTTTCGACTGCTCCAGTTCAAAGATTTCTAGAGTCAACTTGGGATCCACTTGTAGTAGTCGATCAATACAAAGAAAACATGCTGTAACCCACTTGGGCACCTGAAGTTTCTCACCACCATGTGTGCCAGTGTCCCATTTGGAAAGTAAATCAACAGAAATTTTTACCAGGCCAGCCGTTGAGGCAACTTCTCGTGCTGCAGCATCATCGTGAAGAATCAGTGCAAGAACATGAAAAAGAGCAGACAACATCGTGTTGCTGGATGGATCAGAAGTGCTACAACAACCCTTGATATTGTCAATGATAAAAGTCAGGACTTTTGACCGGTAGTTGCCATCATTTTGAGAACAAATCATCACGAGCAGATCACGAACAGAAAATGCCAAGGAGTCTTTCACATGCAAAAGTTTGATACATGCTGATAATATGTCATCAATAGGAGGCAATTCAACAGTTTCCTCTTCATGAACAAGATTATTAACATTTGCAGTTTCAACATCTTTTGGAGGTGTATTTGAGTTTCCTAAGGACATAGCAAGTGCTCGGGCAAGTTCATCATCTTCTTGCGGTTCTTCTGGGTGTGAGAACAACCAATCTGTTGCAATCTCAACGCTATTTGTTCCCACCTGTCTTAAAGCTTCTTCAGCCCTAGCTCGGGAAAACCCCATTTCCACAATCATTGCTATTGCCGATTCATCGGGAGGAGGGCCAACCACTCGGGTGCTCGTATTACCATTCACATTCCTAACTTCAACCCCAGAATAAACATGTCTCATAATAGAGATCATAGCGCTGATGAACTCCAAATTGCAATCTACAAATTGGGGGTGAGTCCAAATAGGAAGCACTGCCTTCAGAACCTTGGATTGTAGTATCTTCACAAATGCCTCAGCATCCTGAGGGAGTGGAATAATTCCATTTGTAAAAGGTTGTTCAAGCAACTGTTTTGTTGACGGAGACAATATAAATGATGATGTTGCGAGATGGTCCATAAGTGTACAGTAGCTGGCCAAGGGACCATAAATCCAAGAACTATCTGCTTCTTCCTTATCCTGTTTCAAGCTTATTTCGTCTGTTTCCATGGGAGAAGCAGGTACTTTATTAACTGCAAAAAGCAACTGGCTGGTCGCTTCAAAAGTAGTCAGAACTGCCTGGAATACCCCACAGGTATAGAAGCAATTGAGCATAATTGCATTACATGAATCTGGCCTGTCTAACAAAACACCGTCAATAAATTCAATAACCTTGCCAAGGTATCGGCATTTCGTAGATACCGAGACCTCGGCTTCCGACAGATTAACATGACCTTTGAAATTCAAGTGATCCAACATGATGGAGGAAACTGTAGTACCAACAGAGGTGATGGAGGGAGGCATTGCAGGATGGTTTTCACGACGAGAAGAGAGCAGCATTGCTTTTCCCAGTTCCATTAACATATGGCTGATATGGTATGAAAGTGACCTCATCATGTCACGACAGGAAGAGTAATATGACCTTTGCTTGTCATCTTCAATTTTGCCAGCCTCATTGGCATCTGAAGAACTAGATGACTGTGGTTGGGAACTTGATGCAAATCGTGAAGAGGAATGATTACCAGTTCCAAGTCTCTGAGGGCCACTAGCAGCTCGACCAAGATCTCGATATATGCTTATAAGGTCAGATACTTGAGACTCGATACTCCAGCCAGATATTCTTCGTCTCAATAATGGATCAAGATATTGCCTAAAAGAACTGAATCTTTGGTCATCAGAATCACTTGTGCCTGGGTCCAACCCTTGCACCTCATTGGCATTAGCAGAGCTCTCACCATCCATCTCAAGCTTCGACTCCTCAAGAAGGGCAATCTGCCATAATACTTCTCGATGAACTCGCCCAATATCTTCCAAGACAACCTTGCTCGCGTCACCAAATTCATTGAGTAGTGCACTTAACCAACGATTATCTTTAGAGGCAGCCAGAAACAAAAGGAATTCAATAACAAAAAGTGAAGAAAAGGCTCCACTATCATGTGCTGAGCTTGGTGCCAATAAAAAGGAACCAGAAGCAGAACTGAACCCACATAAAGCTTTCTTGAGATGGTCCCTCAAACAGGAAGAAAATGCCTTTGCTAAGGGAGCTGAATGGTGCTGAGTAAAGCCCTTAAAGACCACAGTGCTATGTAAAGCAATAGGCATTCCTTCGGATGACTGTGTGATACTAGGTCGCAACAGAAGTTTCATCAAACTATCTATTCCACCCTTCTCCACAAATAACCTACATGTTTCAGAATTTTCCATTGTCCGATGCACCAGTTCCATCGCGTGAAATATGCACAGCTGGACAAACTGCTCATTGCTAATGCCATCAGCATTGGAGCTCATGGCACTCATCAAATCATGTCCTTCACTTACTTTTTCTTCTGTGTCTGTTTCCATGGCGGTGTTCTCATCGAATTTTCCAGAAGTTTCACATTTGTCTTCTCCAATAGAAGAAAGCCTGCCAAGAATTTCAATGATTATGTCCACTCCGGTACTCCTTAAAGACGATACATGCCGAAGAAGCTCCTCAACAGCGTTCGCTAGCATGACAACACCTTCATTCATTGCCACCAAATACTTCCTCGTTGTGAATGTATCTATAAGAAACCTCAATGCAGAAGTTTCCCTAACAGCTTCTAACCCTTTGTTATTAAGGCAAATGGCACCTAGACCACTAGGAACACAGATTAATGCTTTCGAAGAAGGGAGAATCCCTGATACCACTGAATCCAAGAAAGAATCAGGAAGGCCAGACTGATGCAAAACAGGGAAGCATGTTGGATCCTTGTGTATAATTTCGCTCATAACAGTCACTGCCGAAAAGTATATGTCTCCTCCAAACCTATTAATATTTTGGAATATTAAAGACAACGAAGCTGGCAAGGAATTATCATGAGAGTTCTGTGCCCTTGTAGAATTTGCTGGAGAATATGTAGCAGACCCCAGAGCTTTGAGCAAAGCCTTAATAAGCCGTTTTTGGGAGTACAACTGATCTTCACATTTTGTAGAATCACCAATGACCATAGAATTGTTATTCTCATCAACTGCACCAATAACTCTATGGACTTCGATCTGCAGCCTTTGAGCCAAAAGTTCAACCCCTCCAAGATCTTTGAACAAGGATACAGATGGGCTACTGTACTCCATCAGCTTTTGGAGTGTCTTTACTGCTGAACAGACAAGATGAATATGGGAAGGATCGTTATCTTGTAGGAGTGGTAGTAGAGGGGGAACCATTCCCGAACCTCGGATAGCACTGCCAGAACTTGAAGAAGATAGAACATGTAGAAGGAAAAATTGTAGAAGAGCATCAACAAATAAAGGAGAGGAAGGATCACTTGGGTTGCTGAGTGACAAGACTGCCTTTTGAAGGACACTTAATAATACCATGCGATTTCCCCCACCAGAAATAATGCTTGAGCCGCTGAGTATCCTGGCTCGTTCATGGGATGATGCATATGCAGCTAACTGGGCCCCCAACGCATGCATAGCAAGTGCCCTTATAGTTGCAGGGACTGATTCTTCAGAGCGAACAAGCCTTATCAACTCATTTGTGTATTCAGGTTCATTAGCAAAAAAGGACACCAGTTCATCATGAGCATCACTGGACTGTACCAGAACAGTGAATGCAAGAATGCAGATCCTGCTATAAAGCCTACATGTTTTTGGAGAACGGAAGGCATGAGCATACCTAATCCTTGTCAGCAAAGAAAACCTATGCTCAGTGGGTACATTAAATTGGTCAACACACTGCCTCAATATGACCAAATCGTCCTCCTTCCTAAGATGCAGATCTGGAATATATATGACATTCGAGTTTGATGATTTATTTCTCTCGCTGGTTTCATCAGAACCCTGGGAAGTGTTAAATTCAAAATGAAGGGTTGAACCTAGACGGTATTGGATTCCATCGTTATCATTCTCCACATCCGATGGGAATAAAGACAGACCTTGGTTTCTTTCGTTTGCCACAACACATGAGTGCAAACCTAAGCCTTCTTCTTTGCTGCCCCAGCCTTGCGCCAGAGTCAGAAGGTGGTTGTTGATAGAACCACAACCAATCAGCTTCCCACTCACATGTAATTTGGAAGGATTTATTTTTACTAGTGCAGAAAGAGTCTCCAAGGTAGCTAACAAAATCTCTGGATCTGTTGATGCAAGTAGAAACCTGAAATGCTGAATCAAACCAGAAACGACTGCATCAGAATTCAGGCACAAAAGATATAGATTAAAGTGAGTAAATGTCTTTCATATTTGTTTTCGTATGAGTAGGCAACCATATACTTGCTTAGCTTAAAGTTTGAAGTAAATGGTTTTTATATTTGTTTTCGTATGGGTTAGTAACCATATACTTGTTCAGAAGCTCGCCAAGTAAAACTAAAGATGCACTTTATGTAAACTCAACATACCTCTAGGCCACTAAATGAACTCTTGTTGTGGCAATTTTCCAGAATTATTTGCATCACCCTCAAAATTTGCAATACAGAATGCTTAGGAAATAACTCTTCTTCCAAAATATTGTCAGACAAAAGAAGATCTTTCCTACATGATATGTAAGTCTTGAAATAAGTATCAAAATGCAAAAAGAGTGGCCTCCAATGGTGAAAGTTTCCCTGAAATCATTACCAAAAAATTAAGTCGGCAGCTGGTGCTATATGTATAAGGTCAATGGAGGTCCAGTGAGACATAACTTACCTTATTGTACTCCCAACGAAAGGCTGAAAGAGGTATGGCGATATCATGTAATGGGCTCTTAATCACCCTGTCAATGAAGGCTTTAACTTCTGGTGGCTGTAAGTACCCAAAAAGAAATTAGTATCAGCACGATACCATATTACAGGTTATCAACAATCTTGTCAATCATTAAAGGACATAGACACAGAACACTTGAAACATATGTTGCGGAGATGAGCTTTAACAGAAAAGAATCATCTCTTTCTTACAAAGAACCCACAGACACAAAATGTGATTACTGAATTAGAATTTATTTATAGCTTCTGCACATCACGTACAAACATATTAAGAAGAACAATAATCAACTATATTAGAGTATCTCCAACAACATCAAAAGAGATAATTGGCACAAATTTTGATGAGTTTATATTAACCCATCACAAGCATTATCCTACATAGACTTTAACATGGTATTAAATACTCCTTTGTGATATGAAGGAAAACCTGCATCGGCCGCAACAGTGATTAAGAAAGCTCTTTGTATAATATATGTCACAGGTGCTAAAATGAAGAGGCTTATGTTTTTCTACTTTCGCCTGCAATTTGTGATAATTTTCTGCTTAACTCTGCACCTTAAGCAAATAGGAAATAAAATTGAGCAAGCGACATTTGAAGTGAAGAGGTATTTTGCAACACTAGAGCACTTTGGAGGAAAGAGAACAAAAGCCATGTGTTACACACTAGTATTCTATCTACTATAAGCCAGAAAAGTTAAACTAATAGATCAAAAGAGATAGCCATGTAAATCATGTTGGTTCCAGATAGATTATGGCATAAAAGCATCAAACAATACACATATATTATTAAGACGAACATGTTCTCTTATCTTCATTACTACAACTAATTATCAGAGCTAGAGCTGGATGCATGGGGTTTATGACCACTACATGCTTGTGCATCAGAAACTTGTTTGAAAGATTAAGAAACAAGCATGCTGCTAACTAACAACATCAAAATCCACATGCATCAGCTCCAAATGGCCTGTCCAATCAAGTTCCAGCATGTATAGTGCACTACACGAATATCCTAACAGATCTAAAACAAGACAACAGGAAGAAATTACAAAAAAAAAGCAACAACATTTTCACCATTGGGCTTAAAAAGTTAACCCTGAGCCCTGGCTGTTAAAAAAAAAGCCATTATCCTATTTAGAATCCTTGGATGCTTCGAAAGGTTTGTATCCAATAAAAAAATGTTCCATATTTTAATTCTATCTTCCTCTGGCACCATAACTTGGATCTTGTTTGAATGCAATGACTTACACATTTCACTCTTATATCCGCCCTAGTCCATTTACAAGTCAATGCTAGTCACAGGCAGATGGAATTGCATTATCAACTTATCAGAATATGTTCCTAAAATTTAATATGTTTCATTAAACCCAAAACCCAAACTTTGACTTTGCCGGAACCAAGTCATCGCTTCCTAAATCCAATGAATCAACATACAACAATCGAATAAGCCAGCATAGTTGAAACTTACAGAAAAATAACTTGAGATAGAAGGCAAATACTTACCAACTTATTCTACTCCTCAAAAACCCAAACGCCCTAAAATAAATATCTTACCTTTTTTTTAATTTTGAGTAACACAATACCTTCAGACTCTAGCTTTCTCATCTGATTACAAAAAGCCCCAACTCTATACCAAGAAAAAAAAACCCTAAAATCACTATAAATCATGATAAAAAGTAAAATCTCACCGGCTCTGATTCCAACTTGAGTGCAGGCGAGACGGCCCTCCCTCCGCCTGCCAAGATCTGCTGCAGCCTCAGCGGAAAGCTAGACCGATGACTCGCCATCTCTCCGCAGTACAAAACCCTAGCTTTTTACAAAAAAGAAGGTATCAGATCAGAAGAGAAACACTAGATCGGCAACAGGATGCGCTGCATCAGAATCTGGACCCGGCTAGGGTTTGGGCTAGGGGCTTTGAGGCGCGATCGAGGGGGGCGACGATGACGGTGATGTTGATGATCGAGGAGAGAGAATGGGCGAGATGCATACACATCAAGAGTTGAGAGTAGAAAAAAGATTAATTATTTTTTTGCCCTAGAGAGAGAAAGGGGAAAGCGGGGCAGAGAGGAGAGAGAAAGCTTCGTTGAGAGGTAAAGAGGGAGAAAGAAGGGGTTATTTATAAGGGAGGAGATGGAGGTGGGGGATAGGTCGGCACAAGTGGATCGGTGCTTTGTGAAGAAGGGGAGCTTGTGTCACGTGAGTATTACGTGTCAGCTTTTTCTGTTGGGCCGGGTCGGGTCGGGTCGGGTCGGCCTCGTGTAATTGGGCTCCCAAGGCAAACGGAGGGGCCGTTTAGGGCGTGTTTGGATTTCAATAAAATTAAGGGAAATTAGGTGAGAGAAGAGAAGGAAAGGAAAGGGAGTTCCCTTCTTATTGGTTATACCCCAATTTGAGGGTAACATATTTTATATTATTAATGAGTGAACTAAGGGGAACTAGGGTGAATAACTTCATCTCCTAAATGTTCCCAAATAAGGTGAATGGTTCCCCTAACTTCTCTTCTCCCTTATTCCTCTCAATCCAAACAAGTCATTGCGCATCAAACCTTGTTTGGATATTTGAAGGACAAATTTTTAAAATAGACTGTTTTAGAAACATAATCATCAAAGTCAATCCACTTGCAATTTATTCATCAACTTCCATCTAGTTTTAATCACATCTGCAAATGTGGGTTAAAACTGGGTCAAAATTAGAAAATATTTTCTCGCGAAATCTACGAGATTCTCAATCATGTAGAGTTTAAGGGACAATTAAACTTCACGGGACTCTCAATTAAGACAGTTAACTATTTACACCCACTGCAGCGACAATAACAACTACAACTTGACATAGTTATCCACTTACACCTGCTTCGGTCGCCGGAGTTTTGATTTGTACGGAAAAATTGTTCCCCATGAGATCACTTTTAGGTTATCTAACAAGCCAAAGTCCGCTCTCACCAAGCACAATGTGGGACCCAATTTATCTAGCCCATTTGCAATCCTAAACAAATAACTGCAAATAAATTTCTCCCCCATAGCCACTGGTTTACTTATTCTACATTTATTGCAGCTCAGTATGATCTCCACAACTCTTATCTATATTGCACTTCCAATTTCAAACCACCTAATAAAAAAGTGGAAAAAAGGTAAATCACAAACAATGCAAAATCATGCCACTAGTAGAACACTAAACCCTAATTTGGACCACATAAAACTTGAAAAAACATAAACTCCAAGAATATCACATAAAACTTCCTTCAATTAGGACTTGCGCTTCTTTTCTTCAAATGTATGCATCCCTAACGTCCTTAGAGAAGTTTAAAATCAACACCCAATTGGGTTACTAGATTACTTCAATTGATAGGTTTGCACTGGATTTTGTGGAAAATCTCGAGATTGTAGTCAATTTTTGGGATTCATTTACCTCTTTTCAGCGATTGAGAAAAACAAAAAAAGAATTGCCTTGAGATTTTTGAGGGAATCACATGAAGAGGAATAATTTGGTTACTATGGATATTCTCTAGCGCCTCGTTTGGTACACGGAAATGGAGTCAAGTGAGAATGGAAGGAATGTAGGAATGGAATAAAATAGATGTTGGAATGGAATGCACATTCTCATTCTCATGTTTGGACGTGTTTAGAGAATAAAATAGGAATTGCAATCTTATTCTCATTCCCATGTTTGATATCATTTGTTCACAAGTGAGAATAAAATTTAGTTTTTTAATAATGCCCTTACAAAAACACAAAATTTTAAAAACATAAAAATATTTTAAAAATGACTAAATAATTTATTATTTTAGAAAAATAAGTTTTATAGAAATGATATTTTTCTTATAGAAATAATTTTTCAGTTGATAGTTATATTTTGGTACACCGCCTCAGCAGCAATTTCAGACTTTTAGCTTACTAATTGAAAAATAATTTTCATAGAAATAATTTTTATTATAAATAATTATAATTTCATATTTCTAACTTCTAATGCTACATGTCTATTACTTGTACAAACAGCTAATGCTACTAGCATCTCTATGCACAAACATATATAATATACTGAATTCTATATACATGCTACGTGATTTATGACTGAATTCCATGTGCATGCATGAAGAGAGAAATCGGAAGAAAACACTAAAATTTGAAGGATTAGAAAAACATGTTAACTTTTAGTTTGTATATAAAATTTCTATGAAATTTTAAATGCATCTTTAGCTTTCTAAAAATTGATTAGGAATAGAAAACATATTAACCTATAAAGTTTGAAGGAATAGAAAACATCTTAACCTCTAATCAAAATATAAAGTTTTAATCTCATCAATTAAGCATATTATTTCTTGTTGTGAGTGCTTTGAAAAAAATACTGAAAAGATTTGGCATATATACTTCAATGGAACTTCAAATCATACATCCAAAGATAAAATATTTACTAACTTAATTGCCAATAGATTACGCAACCGAGTCACTAAAAGATAAAAAATTATTGTAAAGATTAGGTAAGGATTAGCCACACATACATATTTTAAAAAGAAATAATGGTTACCTAACCGAGTCACGTCGAGTCGAAGACGAAATTTTTTTACTGCAGACGCGATGGAATTAGGGCAAAGTCGAACAAAGAATAGTATTTTAATATTTTACATCTATTTGTATATTTGTACGAGCAGCTAATGATATTATTTCTATAGAAATAATTTTTAGTATGAGATTTTATATCTATTCGTATCTTTTAAGGATGGTATAATCAGAAATTATTTGATTATTTTATTCTCACTTAAGTGGGAATATCAATTCCTTGTTAAATAGTTAGGAATGACAATTCCCACATAAAGTAAAAATTGATAAGAAGAGGGAATATCAATTCTAGCGTCTAATTACATCATGTTTGGTACGCATAAATAAAGAGTTAGAATTGCATTCCCTTCTCACTCATTCCAACATACCAAACGAGACGTAGGAGTTAACAAATCATAGTTAGATTTTAGGTTTCTTCCTTAGAACCATCTTATATTTAGGGTCAATGTGCTTAAACCACTTATATTTTCAATTTATAAGTAAACCACATATGAGGTTATTTTTCTTCTAATCAACCACCTAATCCCACTTTGCTGCTAAAAGTTTACTAAATTTGAATATTACTCACTTAATCTCATGTGTAAAGCAGTCGATGATGTGCAAGCTTTCCACAAGAGATTAAGTGATGATATTATTGGGATTTTAAGAAAGATTTAGTGGTAAGATGAGGTTAGGTGGTTGATCAAAGGAAAAACTAACTTTGTAAGTGATTTTAGATATAAACTAAAAATATAAAGTGATTTACACAAATGACCCTAAATATAAGGTGTCTTAGAGGGAAAAAACCATGAGGCCTCATTTGGCGAAGAGTTAAGGAAGAGGGATAGAAAAAGAATTAACATAGTAAGCCCATTCGATAACCCGAAGGACTAAATTATTAATCTGTTATATAAGTTTTATTTTAGCTCCTCAGGGGTTGGCTTAATTTGAGTGAGAAACACATCAGAATCAGCCAAGACTTTTTGTAAAGCTTCCCTGGTGTCTTTCGAGAGGCGCAGCAACTCATATAAAGTGATCCTCACTTGGATGTTGGCCAATTGAGCCATGACATCAGAGCGATACGGGTTATTCGAACTTTCCGATTTATCTCTTCCAATCGGTCGATTAAAACGAGACTGCTTTGAAACTTGAACCTCTTTGTGCTAAGACTCTTTCTCCTTTTGTTAGGCATTGGTTGTTGTTGGGGTTTCTGAGCAAGTGTAGGTGGAGTTGTAACCACCCCCAGTTCAGCCAACGTTTTGGCATTTGAATCAGAAGCTTCAGGATATTTTTATTGATATTCATTCCCACTCCTGGTAGCAAAGACTTTGCGTTCCTCTTCAGAAAGTGGAAAGTAAGGACGCTTTTGTTATCTTTCTCAGGGATTGCAGTAGCATGACAACATTTACCATTGTTTTTGGCCTTTTTTTTAGAAGAGGATCATGCCCACTGTTCATCTCCAAGCAGATATGGATGGACCCAAAGAACTTCGCCGTTAGGTGCAGTGTGTGGTACTAGTCCCTTCTGACACTGTCCATGAGGGTCGTTGTTCACTACCTTCATCTCTACCTTCGATACGGGCTCTGGTTGGAACCACGATAGACGGACGGAACCGAAACTAATGGACATCGCATTCACACCCACTTTTTTTCTTTGGGCTTCACAGTTATGATACCAGCATAGATCAAGGCTTGAATTCGATCTTTGAGGACATAACAATCCTTCGTAGGATGGTGGACTCTTCCATGATAAGCGCAATACTTTGGATCTAAGGTTTTCCTAGCTCCCTCTTCATTCGTGATTGGTGGCAGCTTGATCATGTTGTTATCCAAGAGATACTTGAAGGTAGCCGACACTTCATCCTCTTTAAAGGAATACTCTTTCGGGAGTCTAGGTTCTGAAGTCTTTGGTTGCCTTGAAGGTTGCTGTGCTTGATGTTGTAATTAGAATGACGACTACTGCATTGACTGCTGTTGCGGTTGTCGTTGTGATGTTTGGTGGGCATCAAAAGCAGTTGTGGGATCCTTTCCTCTGCCCCGAGGATTAAAATTCTATTTTTGAGGATTGGCTACCGGCTAACCCCTCTCAAGCTTCTTTCTCTTAAGTAAGCGTTTGGCCTGTTCACCATGCATCTTTAATTCTTTCCAGGACTTGGAAGTCATGACTCTCATGGCTTCTAGAACATCCAAAGAGAGATTATTGTGACACATTTGGAGAATGAACTCCTCCATGATCGGGCCTCGACAGTTTATTACTTTATTCCGGAAACGTTTGACGAAGTTGTCAATTGACTCTCCATCTTTTTGCTTCTCATCCAACAAAGTTTCAATTGATAATTCGGTGTCGTCATCAAAGAAATTGGTGAGGAATAAGCTTTCCATATCGTCCCAACTGTTAATGTTTCTAGGCTTAGGACGCCGGTACCAATCGAAAGCGGCCCCAAGAAGGGTGCCAACGAATGACCAGACCATCAAAGCTTCATTTCCAGAGATCATATCTAAATGAGACTTGAAATAAATCAAGTGTTGAGTGAGTGAACTTTTCCCATCAAATAGAGTGA